GGCTGATGCACGAAGTTCCCATCTGGCAACTGGCTGTCAGCTAATGCTGCTTAAAGCCAGTTGAAAACTCTGTGCATCAGCCAATGAAGGATCACACCCTCTATAACCCGCACGGGGAGCTAACAAGTGCTGAGACATGGCAAGAAAGACTTGGGGATGAAGAAGACTGGAGAATTTTCTGCCATAACCTGCTCTATCCCCTCATGAAGTAAGCAACTGGTATCCTGTATGTGTAGTTAGCACTTAAATTAAGGGAATTTTATGATGTTTGGCAAATATATACAAGTACAAATGTACTGATCTGGATCACAAGATATTTACTTTCCCCAAAATAATTAATCCCACTGGATTGGATGAGAGAAACCTTCATGTGTTTGGCCAGCTTAAAGGAGAACTATGGGGTAAGGCTTTTCCCCATAGTTCTCCTTAGGGTAACGGGAGGACACAAACTAGCGTCCTCCCATAACCCTAGGCTCAGTATACCGCTGTAGCTCGCGGTATACTGAGACGCCGCAGCTGAAGCGGATCCCGACAATTATGCCTGGATCCGCCCAGCTGCGTGACTGACAGCTGGCTCTGCCTATCTAGAGGCAGAGCCAGCTGTGACCCGCTCCCTCCCCCGTCCGTTCCTCCAGTCAGTGCTGGCGGATCGGAGCGGGGAGGGGGGAATCCAGCCGTGACAGGATCGAGAGGTGAGCGAACGCCGGTATGTGTTCGCTCACCTCCCGATCTACTGAGCTGATCTGTGACAGTCGCATTGTCACAGGTCGGCTAGAACTATGAGGTGAGTGAAAAGCACTCACCTCATAGTTCTCCTTTAAAATGCTAGAATCTCTAACACATGTGTATTGCTGTCTGTGTTTCTGTTGCAGATATTTGCTCACTTCTTGTTTGCCAGCATGACAGGAGGTGAAGGAAAATTTTGCACTGTGCACTGGATAACAGGATACACTAAGCGGATGTTCTAATCATTCCCTACGCTATCCAAAACTAACAAATCTTTTTGGCTTGACACACATTTTAAATGTCATCAATCTCTGTGTTTATCAGGAATTACATGCAGGCCTGCAGTTCTTTGGATGTTGTTGTGAGGTCTTTTGTGACTTCTTGGATGAGTCGTCGCTGCGCTCTTGGGGTAATTTTGGTTGTCCGCCCACTCCTGGGAAGGTTCACCACTGTTCCATGTTTTCACCATTTGTGATATGGCTCTCAATGTGGTTCACTTGAGTCCCAAAGCTTTAGAAATGGCTTTATAACCTTTTCCAGACTGATAGATCTCAATTACTTTCTTTCTCATTTGTTCCTGGATTTCTTCGGATCTCGTCATGATGTGTAGCTTTTGAGGATCTTTTGGTCTACTTCACTTTGTCAGTCAAGTCTTATTTAAGTGATTTCTTGATTGTGAAACAGGTGTGGCAGTAATCAGGCCTGGGTGTGGCTAGAGAAATTGAACTCAGGTGTTATAAACCAAAGTTAAGTTATGTTTTAACAGGGGGAGCAAACACTTTTTCACACAGGGCCATTTGGGTTTGGATTTTGCTTTCCCTTAATAATAAAAACCTTCCTTTAAAAACTGCATGTTGTGTTTACTTGTGTTATCTTTGACTAATATTTAAATTAGTTTGATGATCTGAACCATTAAAGTGTGGCAAACAATGAAAAATCAGGAAGGGGCCAACACTTTTTCACACAACTGTATATGCGTGTGTGTGTTCACAACATAGGACCACACTGACTCATTCTGGCATTTTTAAGCAGGATTTTAATACAATAATCCTTTCAGTGGAGCTACCCCTGCACTGCAAGAGTTAACTGCTCATTTTATCCAAGGAGTTCGAATAAAGAAGAAATACTCCGGGAAATCCTCGGTCCTGCCTGGCTGCTAGACCACTTCAAGCAGCCTTTTCTCCCCTGGGCTCTGGCGGTCTAAGGACCCATGACATCATCATGTCTAATAAAGTCTATTAGACATGAAGACTCCAAGGGGCATACCACAGCCGGAGTGGGGTGGGGTTGGAGAGGTGAGCGCTCACTGCCACAGGACCGAGGATCAGTTGAGCATTTTTTCTTTATTTTCACCCATAGACCAAAACGAGCTGTTAACCCTTCTTCCTGAGAAGATAAAATGGTTGAAATTTGGCCATACATAGATTGATTTCCAGCCATTTCCTGCTAATTAGCCGAAACTGTATCTGTGAGTAGCCCTATCAGTACTACCTGGCTCAACATAGGTCGAGCTTTACATCAACTTGTATGAAAGTAGCTGGGTGGAAAATTGTCGGCTGAACAATAACTGCAATCAATCATTTTTACATTTGCATGTTTGTACACTGGTGAGCCATTGAAATGTTAAATACTTTTAAAAAGGTGCTGTGACTGAAAAAAGGTTGCGGATCGCTAGTCTAAGCTATGGGTTTCCTATATACAATCTACATCCATTGTAGGGTATATCCAGGCAGATTCCATTTGTATGGCACTAGTGCCCCTAGATGGTGCTGTATATTTCTATACTCCTCTGCACCATCTAGGGGCACTAGTGCCATGTGAACGGCATCCGCCTGGCTATAAGCCAGATGGAACTTTTATAAATGAATCCCTATGAGAACAGACCGGATTCAAGGGTGAATACAGGGGCAGCATGTGCACAATACATTGCACCGGTGAAGGGTTGGAGGGAATAAATAAACAGGTCATTAGATATAAAGCCAAATAACAGGCTAAGTTATTAAATCAATGTTGTTTATACAAAATTACCATGTTGCTATAAAATATTTGTAACCAAGGAAAGTTAATCATTTACAAACTATGATATGGTGGATGTGACATAAAAACACATGTATGTAGACAGAGGGGGAAATCTATTAAAACTGGAGCTGACAGAACCTGGGGTAGTTTAGTTGCCATGGCAACTAATCAGTTTCTCTCTTCAGTTTGTTAATTTGGCTTAAAAAAATAAAGGATAGAAGTTGATTGGTTGCCATGGGCAACTGCTCCACTCCTCCAATTTTAATAAATTCCCCTTAGGGCCTGTTCACATGACGTCCGTTTTGTGTGCTGACCGGCTCCGTACGCTGCTGCACTCAAAATGCATCCCAATGTATCCCTATGTGTTTTATGGGCTCCAGTTCTCACATGCGCAGTCCGTTCAGCTTACGACAGAAAAAATACTGCATGTCACATTTTGTCAGGTCCGGAAACGGTCCGGATAAGCAAACGCGTCAAAAACGCACTGCGCTGCAGCTAGCATACTAAAAGCCCCACTCCAGCAAAAAAAAAAATTTTTTTTTTTTTTTTTTAGACCTGATCTCATGTGAACAGGCCCTTAAAGTGCTTGTAATATTATTACTCCCGTTACCCCTGAATTCCTTAGCTACAAGTGCTGAAGCAGACGAGCATAGGTTGTGTAAAGCATGTGGTAGTGGTGAGATGACTGGAGATACAATATAAAAATAAATACTAAGCTGCAATATAAACATTGTGAAATGCAAACTGCTGCTGGAGCACAATTGCAATTGAGGAAAGGCACTGAATCAATCATGACACATTTGCTGAGTGCTTGTTACAAAGAAACACAAACAAATCGGTTACAATATAGTATTATCATCGAGGGATCTGATACAATGTTGTAGCATTAAAGTCAATACGTGAGTACAGGAAAATACGAATCTGAAAGGTAATGCTGATATAAAGGTGCTGATGAACAAGATGTTAAATATTGTCAATGTTTTGATATAATATAGGATGTTTTATATACAGGAATATACTGCATAAGTACTAAGAGGGGGATTTTCCAAAACTGGAGCAGGCAAACTCTGGAGCACTTTCCCATAGTAACCAATCATCTTCTATCTTCTGTTTCTTCAGTTCAGCTTTGAAAATGAAAGAGAGAAGCTAATTGGTTGCCAAGCACAGCGGCTCCAGATTCCATCTGCTCCCAAATCTGGAGCACTTTCCCATAGTAACCGATCAGCTTCTATCTTCTGTTTCTTCAGTTCAGCTTTGAAAATGAAAGAGAGAAGATGATTGGTTGCCAAGCACAGCTGCTCCGGATTCTGTCTGCTCCAGTTTTTATACATTCCCCTCTATGTATATAAATTGATAACAGTATTCTAGACAATTGACAATTGTTTACTGTTTCCATCTGTTGTGTTACACATATACTTGTACATATAAATATAATAATATCTTATATATAATTCAGGACGCTCAGGATAGAATTTTGGGGTCACGGGGCACAATACATTTCTTATTCCTCATTTGCAGTTTTCTAGAGCAGGGGTAGGAAACCATCAGCTGTTGTGGAACTACAAGTCCCATGAGGCATTGCTAGACCGACAGCCACAAATATGACTCCCCAAGGCAGAACCATGATGGAATTTGTAGTTTCACAACAGCTGGTGTGTCGAAGTTGCCTACCCCTGTTCTAGCGTATGAAAGAAAGGCTACATCTGTTTGGTATGGACAGCACAGACAGTTCTTCTTTCAGACAGCTGATAGGAAAGCACTATTTACTCTGCGTGTTGCATCTCTCAGCGTACCAGCCTCCAGAGATTTCTGCACACTTTACATATCGGTAAAGTAAACAGAACTCTAGAGAATGTTCCTGGCAGCTCTTCCTATTCATGGAAAGTCTTCAGAACTGTTACGCCTACAGTCCATGAAAAAGGTAATAAGCAACCTGCTGGTTTAACCCTTTGTGCCCCGAGTTTTGTTTTTATAAAGCTTAGACACTCAGCTGCGTCCGATATGTGTCAGTGAATTGATCTGATTGACAGCGGGTCGGACAACTAGGAACACACAGTTGCACATTTCTAGTTCTCTGCTGCAAGGTTAATTAAGCTTCTCGCGTCGAAGCGAGATTTTTCCATTTGGACTTAGAAAGTCGTATTGCGGTCAGGAAGGGGTTAAGGTCAGCTGAGTGGCAGGAAAGCCTATGTAGCCTTAGGGTCAGGGCTGCAGACTTAAGTGATTGTAAGGTTGGGCAGAATAAACACACGTACCTCTTCCTCCTCGTGGCCCACAGCAGCAAAAAGGTGACTGTCAGTAGCAAAACAGCATTGATCAACAGCTGGAGGGAGTCTGTCATTGTGGTCTGAGGCTCCCCTTCCCCTTCCGCTGCACAATGCACTCCTCTTTCTCTAGCAGATCCTTAATTCTGGGTAATACTACTAACTGAGTGGCACTGCAAAACTTTCTACTCTACTTTTCGTTACTTTTTTCTATCAAGGGGCGAGGCAAAGAGAGCATGGATCACAGAGAGGAACGCCTCACTGGATCTTATGATTCCTGCTGTTTCTCCATAACTGCACAGGCAGAGAGGGAATTTCCAGCAGTCACGCATTGCAACATTGCTCAGGCTGGAGCTTGCCACGCAAAGCTTTCTTCTGAATTCACACTGAAAACTGCTGAGAATCAGGAATGCTGGGGCTTGTAGTTCCACAATTAGTGCCATGCCAGCGATAAACTTCCTTTGGCTGGACCATGGCAACAATCAATACTCCACTTTAAGGCTTCATTCACACTTGCTACTTGCTTTTTTATCCAGAGATCTGTCTACAAAATCTGTCAGGCTAGATGTTCTGTTTATGCTAGATGCTTAAAATGACACGAGTATATGTGCGTTTACAAGCATTTAGATGCATCTGTCCAAACAGTCCATTGAAGTAGCCATTGAGATTTCAGCAAATAAATGCAGCACTTTGCTGTAGCGGGTAGCACTTCTGGTTTGCAGCACTTGCGGTCCCTGGTTCAAATCCTAGCCAAATGACTATCTGCAAGGAGTTTACATGTTCTCCCTCTGCTTGCATGGATTTCCTCCCACACTCCAAATATATGCTGGTCGGTTAATTGGCCCTTGTATGTATGCATGTGAGATAGGAACCTTAGATTGTAAGCCTTCAGGGCAGGGACTGATGTGAATGAGCAATGTAAAGTGCTGTGTAAAATGGCAGTGCTATGTACAGTAAATATCTATAATAAATCAAACTGCATTTCAGGGACTTACCTGACTTCTATTTTGCTAAACTGACTGCAGAAAAAAGCATCTAAAACGCAAGGTGAGAATAGATCCATTGGAAATCATAAGCTGTATAGATCTGCATTTAGAAAACCCTTTTAAATGCATATAAACGTACCTAGTGTGAATGTAGCCTAAGGGTGCATTCACACCAGTCCCCTTGGGCAACTTATGCCTAATGCATCAGTAGTGGGAACAAGTCCCATAAGGCATTGCAAGACTGACAATTACAGGCATGATTCCCACAATTAGAGGCATGTTGGGTTTTGTAGTTAAAGCACAGCTGGAGGGCTGGAGTTTCCCACCCCTGGCATAGGCAGTGCAATTTGCCTTATGTCCTATTGTTTCACTTTGCACCAACACGCTGCATCGGTGTGTGCTGAAAAAGTATGATAGGTTGCATTTTTACGCATTTGTATGCATTTTTTACATTGTGATGCACTACACCGCATTGCAATGCGTTTTGGAGCATAGAGTTGAATAAAGTACCATTCTGTGACACTTCAATAATGTTTAAAAAAAGGTAAACAGTGCGATGTGCTTTAACAATGTATCACACCACCCCTACACAACACACACAAGTATTATACAGAGCATTATACAGAGCATACTGTAGCGTGTGCCCACTGGTGGGAATAGGGCCTAAAATTACTCTGTTACTAAGTGAAAAGGGTTTAAAAATGGGCTGCCTGTAAAGAAGGGTTACAACTTACCAGTCCCAAGCCAATGAACTAAGTAAACAGGCCACTAGATGATGCTGAGGAGCATAGGCTATAAGTATTTATTTCCTATGTTTCTCAGCTCCATCAAGTGGCCATAATGCTGTATTAAATTACATACATTTAACCAGTTGACATCCGGGGTGTTAAGCCCCCTTCCCATCCAGGCCAGGGTCAAGATGCCAACCTGTGAACCACAGACCAGTCAGTCTTACATCCATAGTATGTATATTGTTATAGGGAATAATAAAGGACTACTTAGTAGAGTTTGTTCATGATAATGGCATAATAATGACAATCAGCATGGATTTAGGAAGGACCGTTCATGCCAGACCAACCTCCTGACATTCTACGAAGAGGTAAGTAGAGATCTGGATGGAGGGAGGCTGGTGGATGTGGTATATTTGAACTTTTCAAAAGCATTTGACACGGTACCTCATAAACGCTTACTACACAATCTTAGGTCTATGGGCAGGAACGTGTCCAGAGAGTATCAATAAATGGCTCCTTTTCAGATTGGTCCAGGGTCATGAGTGGTGTGCCCCAGGGTTCTGTGCTAGGCCCATACTATTCAACCTGTTTATTAACGATATTGGGGAGGGCGTAAATAGTCATGTCTCCGTGTTTGCTGATGATGCTAAAATCAGGAGGGTAATAGACACAGACTTGGACAGTAGAACATTACAGGAGGACCTGGATAAAATAGGGGAGTGGACAACTATATGGCAGATGAGGTTTAATGTCGATAAATGTAAAGTAATGCACTTTGGGGTTAAAAATAGGCGAATGGAATACATATTAATGGGTGCTCTATTAGGGAAGTCAGAAATGGAAAAAGATCTGGGGGTCATAGTAGACCACAGATGGAATAATAGCTTGCAATGCCAGGCTGCGGTAAACAAAGCGAGCAGAGTTCTGGCTTGTATTAAAAAGGAATGCACTGCAGAGACAAATCTATAATTTTACCACTTTATAGATCACTAGTTCGACCTCATCTGGAGTATGAGGTCCAATTTGTTCACCAGTACACAGGAAGGATGTCCTTGAGCTGGAAAGAGTCCAGAGGAGGGAAACCAAACTTATTAAGGGGATGGAGGCAGAGGCGTAACTAGAACCCTCAGGGCCCCGGTGCAAGAAAACCATAAAGGGCCCCCCCGGAAAAAAACATGATTTTGATACCTTTTTTATCGGCGGAATCTCGGCAGGGAATGAGCAGCACTCTCCGGGGGGCCCTCTTCTTCCTCGCTGGGCCCCCCCCAATTGGCGGTTATCCAGGGACCGGTCGATTGCACTACCTCCTGACTCCTGCACTGCGTTCCTGACCTCTGCAAGGAGAGAAGCAGCTCAGACGGGCACAGTTCCTTGCAGCCGCGGCCGCAAGGAACTGTGCCCGTCTGAGTGCGTGCAGACGGGACGGCAATACATGTCGGCGGAATCTCGGCAGGGAATGAGCAGCACTCTCCGGGGGGCCCTCTTCTTCCTCGCTGGGCCCCCCCCAATTGGCGGAACGCCAGGGCCCGGTCGCAATTGCGACCGCTGCGACCCTGGTAGTTCCGCCAGTGGATGGAGGACCAAAGCTACGAGACAAGGTTACAAAATGTAATCTTGTTCAAGCTGGAAGTGAGGAGATTAAGGGGCGACATGATTTTGCTGTACAAGATGTTCAATGGTGATAGCAACATCAGTAACAAACTTTTTACGGTATACTCCATAACAAACACTAGAGGCCACCACCTAAAACTGGTAAAGAAAAGATTCGAGCACAAGGGGCGAAGGGGCTTCTTCACAGTTCGGGAAGTTAGGGTTTGGAACTCACTGCCGCAGAAAATGATTTCAGCCGTGAGTATTGAATCTTTCAAAAACACTTGGACGATTTCCTCAGAGACCGAAACATTCAGGGGTACAGGTTCTGTTAAGAACAAGAACACGAGAGTAACATGCATACACGCAATGGGTTGAACTTGATGGACCTGTGTCTTTATTCAACCTCAAATACTATGTAACTATGTAACATTTGTTTTTGCGTCTATTCACACAGAACAAATGTTCAAATAGATTTATAAGGTGAATGGCTCTGCAAATTGGTTATAAATAGACCCCTTAGGAAACCAGTGCACTGCACATCAGGGACATGTTCACACATACTGTATAACGGTGGCCGGCATTGTAATGCACCGGATTAACTCAGGTCACCACATGGACATATAGAAAAGAATGTTATGTCTCCAAAAGTTTTGAAATGTATTTGGTTTTATTTGTCCACAGGTTTCCGGCGGTTGGCATGTTTGGTAACAGCAAGGTTATTGAGTAATGTAATTTCTATGTTTATGTTAATTAAAAAAATGAATATATAAATCTATGGTATAAATTTGTGTAATGTGTTGTGACTGACATGGCCTTTTGTGTGTTTTTACTATTTATTGCTGTTACCAATATGATGATTATTAATTATTCTACAACAGTGTACCTTAACTATCAACAAAAATGTATCTTATTTGTGTATCACTCAGCTATAGAGCCTCGAATCATCTCTGAATTGGTGCTGACACTGTCCTTCCTTCTGGAGGGTGGCTACTTTTGTTCCTCATGGTCCCTCTGTGAGTTGTAAAGTAGCCACCGCTCCAAGCTCCCTCCTGTGATGGACTGCAATCTCGTGTTTAGTTTACTAATTTCTATTGAGATTGTAGGCCAGTATGGGAGTGTGCTTGGAGTGGTGGCTACTTAACAACACACAGGGACCATGAGGAACAAAAGTAGCCAACTCCAGAAGGAAGTACAGTGTCAGCACCAATTCAGAGATGATTTGAGGCTCTGCAGCTGAGTGATACACAAATAAGATACATTTTTGTTAATAGTTAAGGTACTTGGATGCATTTTTAAGATTTAACTCCACAGTTTAGTTTCACTTTAATATGGCAATGTAATGTAGTTGCCCTATGGATTTTTTTTAGCACTCATAAGACCTTACATTTCTAATGATAGTCACTATTTAGCAGTTTTGGGACTGTTCCAGAGCCTGGAGGGACACCTGGTACCATAATTTTAGGGGGTTATTCACAAAAGGAGCTGAAAGATCCAGCCGTAGCTTTGACTGATCTTTCGGATCAGTCGAACCAAAGGGCTGCTGTACGGGCTATTCACTATAGCCCATATAGCAGCCGAAGGGCTCAGCCGACCCGAAGGCATTTGCTTCAGCTCGACTGAGCTGAAGTGTCAGCCAAAGCGGGGAGTGCGGCCTGCCAAAGGCCGGCCTTTCGCCCAGCAAATGACAGCCGTGTGGAGCCAGCAGAAGGCAGCCGATGTACGGCTGAAATCAGCCGTACAAGCCAGCAGGGAATAGCTGAACGTAGTTCGGCTCACTTCACTTCGGCTGGGTTATTCATTCGGCTGCCTTCGGCAGCTTTGTGAATAATCCCCTTAGAATATTTATGATGATCGCACCTTAACACCAATATGATTTGCTCCA